CTATGTATTTTTAAAATGACTATGACTTGTGACTCATTCTAAATATTTTGATTTCTCAATGAGTGGACACTGGCCACTGGCCAGCTGGCAAAGTCCCAGCTGAAAATCAGAAATTAGAAACCAACCCCTGAAAGGCCAAAACTGAAAACCCAACACGGAAACACATGTGGAAGGGTCGAGAAACCTATTACGATTTTGTATTGGTTTATTAAATTTTGTATTGATATGATCCATTCATCGAACACAGTTCAGCTAATATTGTGAGTTGATTGCTCTGAGAACCCCCTATATGGAATACACCGGAGCATTTGATTGGTCCGAAAAAGGTGACGCCTTCTGTGAGTATGTATGGAACTTTTTGGAGTCTGCCAGTTTAGACGCGTCCAGAGGCTGAGAGGTGGCGACTGGGCGATTCAGCACTCAGCAACTCCTCCGCATCCGGCATAGTGAACCGATTCCACCAATCCATGTTCGTACAGATCGTCTCAATATTTTATAAAAAAATATTACACGTATGTACATTGGCACCGCCAACTTGCTCTTAGAAATTTGCACTGTACTACAGTCAACATAGTAAACATCTGTCCCCAGACCCCAAAACCTTATTTCCCATTGGATTCATATGAAACTTCTGTTCAATTCCTCGTTGAATGCATGATATCTTAAACGGATTGTATGATCGACAAACATACATCCGTTCCTTGCATTTGCCGAAGAAAACTAGAAAGCATGCATAGCACCATTGTATTTACAGGTAGATCTGATAAACACGACCATAAATTTGGTATAAAACCCCTTGAAACTAAAAACTGTTGAACACAGTAGATTAAAAACATCGGGATATTTTCATACATTGCAAAAGAACACTTCACCATGAACAGAAGGGATTCAATACACAGGGATATCGATTTCCCCTTCGTACCCTCTACCACTGATATGGCTGGCAAAACAGTCGCTATTATCGGCGGTGTAGCCGGGGGTGCGAGCGCAGCCGCGAGGCTACGTAGAAACGATGAAAACGTGACCATTAACATGTACGAGCGAGGGCAGTACGTTTCCTTCGCCAATTGCGGGCTTCCCTACTATGTAGGGGGAATTATCAAGGAACAATCAGATCTGTTCCTCACAAATCCGGAAGAGTTGAAGCGCAACTATAACATCAATGTATTCATCAACACGGAGGTGTTGTCCTTCGATAAGAATGAGAAGACCCTGCGTGTTATAGGCCCTGATGGCGAACGGGCGGATACGTACGATAGGCTCATACTGTCGCCTGGCGCTCAGCCCATTATCCCACCATTTCCAGGACGAGATTTACCGGGTATCTTCACCATAAGAGCAGTGCCCGATACCGAGCTGGTCCGTTCGTGGCTTAAAAACACACCCGACGCAAAAACCGCGACGATCGTTGGCGGTGGATTTATAGGGCTTGAGATGGCCGAGAATCTGCACACCCTCGGATTTAAGGTGACTATAATCGATATGGCGGATCAAGTAATGACACCAATGGACAAAGAAATGGCTATATACGCTGAGCAGGTACTCGAGAGGGCCGATATTGACCTAGTTCTTGGGGATGGTGTGGCGGGTTTTGAGCCAGCTGATGGCAAAACGTTGCTTGTACGTACGGCACACGGACGTGCGGTTGACGCAGATATTGTGATCCTGGCTATTGGCGTGAGACCGGACAATAAACTGGCCGTGGACGCTGGTCTAGCTGTGGCGAAATCGGGATGTATTGCGGTAGATGACCATCAAACTACATCAGACGCGAATGTGTATGCTGTAGGAGATGTAGCTGAGAAATACAATGTTATTACGAAGACAAGGATGCCGTTCTACATGGCTGGACCCGCCAATCGACAAGGGAGAGTGGCCGCTGACGCGATATGTGGACGCGAAAACCGATTCAGAGGAATTCAAGGCACCGGAGTGTGTGGGATTATGGGGTTGCAGGTGGCCATGACAGGGCTGACAGAGAAGGCAATGGTGGCGGCAGGAAAGGTTAAGGGTAAGGACTTTGACGCTGTGTACTTGCACCCGCTGGATCATGTCGAGTACTACCCATCCTCACACCACATACACATGAAGATAGTCTTTTCCGTGCGTGAGGGCAAGCTGTTGGGAGCACAGGCGGTAGGTGTGCAAGGTGCCGAGAGAAGGATAGATGTGCTGAGTATGGCGCTACAGATGGGAGCCACTGTGTACGACTTAGCAGAGAGCGAGCTCTGTTACAGTCCACAGTACGGTGCTGCCAAAGACGCAGTCAATCTGGCTGGATTCTATGCGATTAATACCATCAAAGGGTATGCGCATAACTCGTATTGGAATCCCAACAACCCCTCTGTATTCCCTGATGATGCGGTGTTGATAGATGTGCGAGAGCGCGATGAAGTCAAGGAGAGCGGTACTGTTCCTGGGGCTACCAATATACCCATGTCTGAGATCCGAACACGCTTGGATGAGCTTTCCAAGGATAAAACCATCCACGTGTTTTGCTTGACCGGGGTACGTGGGCATAGTGTGATGCGTATGCTTGTGCAGAACGGGTTTAGTGCGAAGAATATATCGGGTGGATATACCAGTTATCTATCTTGTGTGCCGAAGGCCCATAGCAGAAAGGCGCTAGCCAGTGTTCTTTCGATTTCTAATTTGAACTACTAATTTAGTCAAGCTTGGTTCATGAGCCTGCGAGCATACCCAATTCCAAAAATAAATATTAAGTATAGGCAGTCCCTATTTTGACAGTACAACCATGACAAAAAAAACAGTACACTGGTATATCCTGATCAAACCTCTATAAACCTTTATGGACAGCCTCTCACCTCGAGCGCTCAACCACGGTGGAGGCAATCAAGTGAAATAAATGTGTGCATCGAGACAAAAACCCTACTACACACTGAAACTATCGGTTGAATGCATTGAGTACATGTTTATTTGCAGTAGCGATCGGCCTTCACCTTCGAGCGTCGATTCTGTATAGGTACAAGACACAATATGGGCAGGAATGTAATCAGGATATCAGTTGGAGAGTGAATTAGGGAGAACAGATAAAACGAGACATTGCAGGCGGATGCAATAGCTGCACAACAGGGACGGTGGCCAGCAGAGTACCTGGTAGTACTAGACAAATACGCGCAGGCGGGATATGTACGACTGACACTAAGGCTATACCACAGTGCTTGCGTAAGTAACACATCACCACCAGACACCCACCAGCTGTACGAAGGGCTTATCTCAGGATAGATCAGTACACTACCGTAAGACTACAAGCACACATCCTTCTGGGAGATCTGCAAGGTATACAAGGCACAGACAACACGCACAGTTTCTCAGACTTCACACAAGAACACACATGTATATCCCAGATAGTTCAATTACGAGCGTCGCAGATGCGGTGCGGATTAAACTACTTCTGTGCGCGCATCGAGTGAACAGCTATACTTAGGAAGTAAACAAACGATGAACACACCAGCAGGGCTTCGTTCAGTGTCCCCTTCTTCCTCGCATCTTTCAGCTCCTGCTTATCACCCTGTAAGTACCGTTCAACCGAACGAGGATTTAATATACCAGGATCTCGGCAGTATCATTCTAATGCAACAGACAGGTGCTGTCAATAAGGAAGGGTAAATCGAAGAGAAGCAGCGACAATCTGTGTACGCCTCCAGGGGAGGGAAGGGTACACACACACGCACAACCGCATTCGGACATCGACATGATACTACTCGCTCCACACATGACGACGAACCCTAAACCCTAAACCTTAAGTCCTAATTAGAAAAGTACACACATACATACGCATGCATACAGGCATCGGCCACATATCATTCGGGTCGATGAGATTCGAGCTTTATACATTGATAATTTAACCCCAGGATATCGGCTCTCGATACCTGGGCCTCCCAGTATCTTCAACAGTCAGTCTGTCAGCACACATCCACTACACATAGAACTGCAGGTAGCAGTGCAGCCGACGACGAGGAAACACTTACTATGCTATACTAGAGCAACAGTCTACCACAACAGAACACAATACATCACTTCACTTAACAACACAACACAGCACAACTCAACATATACATACATACATGCAAACATGCATACATATATACATACATACATACATACATACATACATACATACGTATAAATATACATACATACATACATACATGTATACATGCATATATACATGCATACATCCATCCATCCATCCATCTATACATGAACAACCAGCCCTAAATCAATCACACATATGCACGACTGCTGTGCAATAAACTAGAACACAACCATCACCACAGCCAACACAAGCCTTACACACACCCTCACCACACACACGCACTACTGTACTGCTGTGCAAAACCATGGGCTGACCTGGAATGTGATGACCTCTCCATTGAGCCCTGTAAAACTCTGGTTTTTCTTGGCCTGCGCCTCCTCTATTTGGGACAGACTGCCCTCGAATTGTTCCACCTTTGCCTTCTTTACCTAATATGGCAAATGTGGCGGGGCACCTTCTGTTAGCACTACTAGTAGGAATTGCGCCTCACAACAATAGGCCCACCGCCACTTACTGTAGTGTCTCTTATGTTGCTTATTGCGGAAGTCGATACATATTTGTATACCCTTCAATAGGGCGAGCTTCGCGTATTATCCCAGCGTTAGGCATCGCGAGCCGAAGATAGGAATTGACGCATCTTCTCCCATACGCATTAACGTATATATTCAGTAAGTACACAGCATCGACCATTGGTTCTAATAGAAAACGTTATTGGCTTGTACCTACCTTTCTCTCAGCCCCGCACCATGCAATCAGCTCGTTACTTTCCTCGGAATCCTTAGTATAACAGCCCACAGTCAACTGTCCATCGTCACCCGCATGCTCATGGTCTGTGCCGAGGTACTTACCTGCGGAAGCAGCATGGGTTGTTTTTGAAAATGGATACATTTATAATTAATATCTATATATATATAATCACACAAACACACACACACACATA